ACTTTTAAGGCATAGAAACGCAACAAAGTTTAGCGCGATATTGATGACTGTGCCTGCCGTCTTGGGTACTGATGTTGGGAATGCTCTGGGTTAGTTACTTCCTGCGACTTATTTCATTACTTTGTTGCTATTGGGCATAATTAGCTTAGCTTTCAGTTTATCATCATTCAGAATATTAAATTTGGAAATAGTTTTTTGTCGCAACAATCTACGGTACTGTAGTCATTTAGGCAAACCCGATTACTTCTATCACCTCCACAAACGTCGTTAGCTAACAGGGATCCAGTCGTACGGTAGTTCCTCATGATCTTATTTCGCACAGATATATTTTTACCCTTAACAAGTAAGAAAGTTATATTGGGCGGTGGCTGAATTTGGTATACTCACCGCCACTATACTCTTCGCCTTCTACTGTCCAAGTTCTTTTATTTGATACCCATATTGCTGGTATTATTAAGAAAAAATTAATCTACCAGGTCTCCACCAGGTGTCTACCATATTCATTTTAAGATTGACCCATTTTTAGGCAGATAATACATCTTCATTTAAGGAGCGTACAAAATAGTTTTAAATATTATGACTTTTTATTCTTCTTCTTCTGATAAACAAGCATTAAACCTCAAAAAAATGAAAAATTTGAAATGCGTAATTTCGCGTGGGCATGGCCGATTATTTCCATTTTTAGACGTAAACAGTAGAGTATTTCGCATAGTAAATGTAGAAAATTGCAGCCTTCGAACTTATATAATTTCTGAACAACGAGGAAAAACCCAAAAAATTTTTGTTAGAAAAAACTGAATTGCTTTCAGTTTATGCTTCACTACGGACTTCTGCTCTGACCAATTTAGTCCATTTCCAGTACCAAACTGCGAGCAGAAATTTCCAATGTTTCGAACAAATTTGAAGTTGATATCCTCATTTTTGCGACCAAGCGAAAGACGGACATGCACATCACAAATCAACTCAGGATTTTACGCTTATCAAGATTATACATATACTTTGTAGGGTGTCTGAAGCTTTTTTTTTGTATGTTACATACATTATGGAAAGACACACAATGAGTATAACCCCATCTTACAGTGGTGGGTATAAAAAGAATATGCGTTCTGCACTTCACGTAAATACGTTTAATATAACGATCGAATATATAAACGTCATAAGAAGTGCATAATGATATAATAGTAGACTCCGTTATTGAAGAGTTATTACTACAGTAATTATGTCATACTTCATTTGTTTGCTGTAAGTAGATATTTCACTTGTGTACTCAGAAAGCATCACAATCATGGATGCTTTATAAAAGCATCAAAACTCCCTTGAACAGACTTAATCAGATCATTAAGGTACTTTCTCAAATTACAAATTTCATCACGGAGTGACCATTCACTTTCCGAACATTTGATACAAGCAGCAAGCAAGTGAATGAAAATGAAGGTTTATCTTTAAGCAAAACAAAATGTTTCTTGAAGACATTCGCGCAATGAGGATAAAGCCACGTATTACAAGAGTTGTACTAAATACCATCCTGAGGGGTTATCAATAGTGTCATGGTATAATGTATATTTAATAACCTTACCGGTAGACATATTGAAATGAGAAGAAGCAGCAGTAATACCAAACAGCAGCAACAAATCAAAAGGAGGTAACAGAAATGTATCTCATATGTTTAGCAACAACTGAATGCAATGCAACACAATTGCAAGCAAACGGTGCAAACGGTTTAGATAACGAATTCAATACCGTACGATGGCCAAACCGACTATTTATTTATTATTTATATTTGATTTATTAAAAATAAAACGAACCACAAAATTCACCAAAAATGGAAAAAATTCATTAATTACAAGCACGTAGTGTTATGTCTTTATTAGATAATAAAAGACAACATTTCGTCATGAACTGTGAAAAACATTTGATTTTGTTGCCATATAATAGCTTATCTTTCGTGGGAACGGTTATATGTATAACAGTTGTTCAAAAAATTTGTCCGTCCGTGAGTCTTTATTAAGAAATTTCCAAAAATTGCAAGCATTTTAAAATAAGGCTTTATACGGGAAGTGCCGGTGAATTAAATTTCGACAAAATATCTCAAATATTGCACGAAAATTGCGAAAATTGTGTAAATACAAAGATGCATGGATAGACAGACAGACAGACAGACAGACAGTGTAGACAAATTTAAATTGATTCAAAAGATGATTAAGGATAGATCGGCATAATAAAAGATGTGTCATCGTCTTGTCGTCGTGGATGTTGTATATATCCACATAAATTAATCATACCCTCTACGTACCATAGGTGGCATAAAGGAATAAACAGTTCATGTAGTAATCTAAGGCATATGTCAAGAAGGTCGCTGCATGGCGAAAAGATTGTTTACCTTAGTAATCGGCAGATAGCAAAAACACAGATATCCTTAGCAAGTAATGCTTGTCCGGACTTGTAAACAGAACGTAAACAAATTTAGTAAATATATTAGGATTTTGGGCGTATTGTCACTTGAAAAGGTGATTGATTGAGAAAAATCGATGCAGTATATATTATAAAAAATGTTTCCATCATTTTCTACAACATTTTATCACATTTCTGGCAATATGATCATATCGTATCGAAAGGGCTTCCCATTCGAGTTGTAATAGTGTATCACTGGGCAACTCTTGCAACAAGTCGCCAAAATGGCATTTTCAGTTTGGATCTTTATCATCAACTGCTAAGCTGTTCGAAAGTTCTTTGAGAGTTTGAGGTGGGTTTTCGCCCTATAAGTGTCCACCGATTCATTGTTGTCGAGCTTTTTTGGTCTTCCACGCTGTTTTTTGTCCTCGACCTCAAAATCGCCACTTTTAAATTGCTGAAATCAAAATTAACAATTGGGGCATGGTGGAGGAGCGTCACCATAAGCATTCTGAATCTTTTTGGTGGGGTTCAGTTGCAACAACAAAAATGAATGCTAAAACTGCACTTTTATGTGTTCCATGATTAACGTCGGTGTACGCTGACTGTTTATTATTTTTATCTGTAAAAGTCCTCCTAAGAGAAAATACCTGAATGAACTTTTGAATTCAAATTTCACAATAAATCTGTATTCTCTGTTGAGTGAACAATGATAAATCTCTATTCTGATGTTAGTTTAGGAATAGTATTCAAGTCTTGCATTCAAAATAATTAACAAAAAACGAACTATGAAATTTCATTTCACATTGGAAAATTTTCAGCTGCGAAGGCTTTGTTTGGTTGGTTATATAGCTTTAGCTATACTATAACTACATAAATAACATTTTATTCCATTTGAAGAGATCGATAGCAATGAAAATCCAAAATACCAAAACAAAAGGAAAATTCTTGCGTAATTATTTACCAAATCCTACCAGCTTTTAAATGAAATCACTTTGTCTCGTTGAAAAGGTCACACCTACGTCGTCAACACACTGAACGAAACACAAATTTTCTTGTTTCAAAAAAGTTGCTCTTTCCTTCTTTGTTTTTTCAATTATGATATATATGAGTATTTCAGAGCATAAAAATGTCCTTTAATAAAAGGAAAAAAAATATTTCTTTATTGTAAATTTTCTGTTTTCTGTCCCTACGTCAAATTGTTTTATGACCAGCAATATCTATTAGATGAAGAAGGAAAATTTTGCAAATGCCTGCAAAAGGGATAAATATAGAATTTTTATTTCTCTTGATTCTGATTTTCAGTGTTTTTGTAAAAGCAAAGATAACTGCAGCAAAAACATCTCATTCGAGATTTATGAGTTCAAAAACAGAAAAAATTGTCCTTCAAATATTCTTGGGCAATCATACATATGCATGCATTTTTGCATAATTCCTTTTATCTTGTCTTTCCTTGTCTTAATATCATGTAAAAGTGGTCGAGGGGTTCGAGAGTTGAAGAAAATACGCCAACTATTTTAGCTAATAATGTGTTATTATTAACCTATAAACTGAACGTATCTTTCGCTGTTATTGCAGTTTGTATGTATCTCTTTATTAATGGGTCATTGAATTAATTTCTTTCTTTTTGTTGTTACATAAGACTTAGTGTTAAGCGTTTGGCGTTCGCTAGCTATTTCTAATTAACAATGTTTCTGGCCTTCAAGCCACGGAAAAGCATCAATATATTGAGAATGATTGCTTGGTTCTGCAATTAGAGCTCAAGTATAAAGTGCGCCTCGAGCTGCAGGAACAAAGCTTAAAAAAAAATTGTAATTTTACGGAAAACATGAATGAAATGAAAAATCCTAGAGAGACTATATAGAAAATTGTAAATGCTAAGGAACGAACCACTTTTGAATAATTAAAAGTGATGAGAATGATTAACGTGCAATGGGATCAAATTAAACTTCCATCGCTTTGGAAAACACGAGTATTGCCGGGAAGCACATCCCTTAGGCGAAAATAAAAAACTCGCCCATAATTAAAATATTATTTCCCCTTAAGTGAATACTATTTAAAGTATCCGCGTCAGAGCGCACTTCTCGGCAAAGGGAATTATTTCAAATTGCCTTAGTCGTGTTAAAATTTTTAGAAATCGCAAAATTGCGACAGTTTCCGATGGGCAGGCGGGCAGGCGGGCAGGCGGACAGACAGGAAAGGTTAGATCGACTAAAAATCGCTTTCTGTATTTGGATTGATCCATCCCAAGCCCTTTTGAATGTAGTATTATTAATAGTTATTAAAATAAGACCCTTCAAGAAAAGCTAATTTTTTTTTTTTTTTATGAAGGAGAACATGGCTTTTGCTGTCATTAAATTCAAAATTAAAAAGTAATTTTTTTTTTACCAATAATAATTTCTAATTAAGGTTCTGCGCACAAGAAGGCATTTCGCTTAACCTTTTCTTTGTGTTTTTGTTATTTTTTTTTTACTTTTTTAATTTAATTATTTTTTATAACGAGTTTCATTGGAAAGTTCGCAAATCGATTGTTTCGAGAACGTAGTGAAAAAATTGTATTGGGGCTTTTTCATATTTGACGAAAAACTAGTAATTGACCGACCGATTCAATGTGCTCAACAAACCGTTGCGCGCCGTTAAAGAATCTGCTCTGCGGAAGCAAATATGAAGGCGATTGGTCAAGTAGCATGAACTGGATGCATGGCTATGGTACATACACCTTTCCCGATGGCAGCACCTATCAAGGCCACTTTAGGAATGGCAAATTCCATGGTTTTGGAATTGTATTTTTGGCAAAGCCGTACAATTTCGTCATTAAGGGTATGTTCAATCACGGCTCGATCGATAGCATCAATGATATGTGCTTTGCGGATGGGTTACATGTGACAGCTTCTCTGCACGGTTTTCAGATGGACTTTAGCGAATGGGTTTATTGCATTAATGGCGATCGTCGATACATGCGCGAGCGTTTGGAAGGCTTATGTCCAGTTGGGCCAACCGCTTCGCTAAGTGCCAATCCGCCGGATAGACCCTTAAGCGAAGGGTGTTATGATGTCGGAGAAGGAATATATCTTTCCAAAACTTATTTCATTAGCGATAGACCTCCGCCTTTCCGGCTATGAGACCAGTTTGTGTTGATGAGTTGCCTTTCATTGAAAAGTGTCGTCAGGGTCGGGAGAATGTGTCAATTCCAATTAGTCTGCATCGCAAAATAATAAAAACAAATCTAAGCAATGAAGCGTTTTCGGTAGAGAATGAATGCTGCAGGAATTGGAAAGTTCATTTTGGACATTTATGTGATTCAGAGGATATGAGCGAGGCACGATCATTAATTATCGACAACGAATCAACGGAAAATGAATGCAGCAGCTTTACTGTTCCTTCTTTAAACAGGGCGTCGCAAGACGTAATTCAGGACGACGGCAGCATCATAGACGATTTATTTGTTCCAACTAAATCGGATAAATTTTTCGTAGTGGAGCCGCCTTCGTCCCTATCGGATATGACATCTGAATCAAAAACGTCAAAAAGTCTAGCAGCAATTTCGACTTAATCCTAAAATTTTTAAAACATAAAGATTTTTTTCTTATTTAACGAGAAATTTTTTATGGTTTTTTTCTTTGCCGTTAACTGCTGTGAAAGCGAAAGAAGATGGGGATGGAAAATAAATATTTTATATTTTAGAGGGTAGGTTTAGAGTAAGAGAAAATTTGGAAAATACAGGAAAGAGTAGATTGTGCAGAAAGGTTCAACTTGGCATCGTGAATCGATCAGACCGTAATCTAGAAGTATTGCTTAGGTCTATCAATTTCTGGGCTCCTTGTCTTTGTACTCTCACCAGGCCAGTAACGTCTACTGCAGGGACTATTGGTGTTTTGTGTACACCTACAAGTCGAATTTATTTAGTTTTGTAACATCAAGGCATATGTCATTAATGTCTCGTAATGTTTCTGATTAGGTAGAAAAGACCTGATTGAGTTAAACAAAAACAAGTCCTTTCATGCACCATAAATAAAAGTTCAATTAAAAGTCTTTTTAAACATTCCATGTTCTAAGAACATGTTTTCAAAGCTTGGAACTTGAACTGACTCACCCGGTGATACACCATATGCCTATATGGCTGTCGTATGTCTAGAACTATTGTTTACGTCAAAAATATTTTGCTTTTTTCGATTGGCATTTTTGTTTTTGTTTTGTTTTTTTCCAATACTTTGTGTATATGACGTTAAGGGACTAATTTCGGCTGCAAATTCGGATTTTTTTCGCACAATTTTTTTAGATCATTTATTGGAAAAATGTCTATAGGGGCGATACATGTCATGGACAATATGTTGGATGAAAAGGCAAATGTCTATAGGAGCTATCTGACTGGCTCAAAATATAAGTGGCACTGGGTTAGCGATGGTAGACGCAATGACAACTTTGGCGAGTACATTTTTCCTGATGGCAGTGTATACCGCGGCGATTTAAAAAAAAACAAATTTTCAGGCAACGGTGTCATTTATTTAGCGCACCCATACAACTTCGAGGTAAAGGGTGAATTTATAAATGGCAAAATTACCAAAATCATTGAAATGAGATTTTCTGACGGCCTAATTGTGGACGCCGATATAGATGGAACGAGCTTGAAATTCGATCGTTGGACCTATTGCAACGGGGTGACACGAACTTTTGCTTGCGAAATTTTTAACGGTATTAGGCCGGTGGGACCTACTGCTCATTTAACGCCAAGAAAATCGGCCTTCAAGTTACACGCCAACCGTTTTGATACGATTGAAGGAGTTTATAATCCAAATACTGGTATGGTCTATTCGCGACCACCGCCTTTCGCGCCCACTAAGTTTATCCAATGCGAAAAGGATCGAAAGTTTATAATGGACAATTTCCGGACGGCATCCGATTCGGAGGTCGAAATCAAACCGCATGTATGCCAAAAAATTTTGCAAATAAATTTAGATAATGAAGCGAAATTGGCAGAAAATGGATATTGTTCTTGTGTAACAAAAAATGATCCCATGCGACTCTTTCCGCAATTGGATACAATGGGTGATAAAAGTTCTGAGCAAGTCTACAATTTATGGGATATGCATTCACCCAGCAGCTCCAAATGCGCAAGCTTCAGTGCTGAATCGCTAATTGAAAATGTGGCGCAGCGTCTAAATTTGACTGAAGATTGCGAAATAATTAAATCATGATTTAATTGAATATGAAATAGAAGACGAAAAGGCGAAGGGAAAAGGGCAAAAAAAAAATTCTATTTAGTAAATTCAAAACTAAATAATAAAAAAAAAGAAAAAATTCGAATAAAAAGTCGATTTCTTTAAAAGCGAAATTTGCGGGACCTTACGCATACTCAGAGCACGCAACGAACAGCGATTAGTCGGTAGATAAGAAGAAGAACAGCGAACAGCATTTTGTAAGACTGTACTGAACTCCATTCATAATGAAATGTTTTGCTTAACTTATTTGCATTAAGCTGCCTTTCTAGCTCTCTAACACACCTTAATATAAATTTTTTAAAGCTCAAAGTGGAAACGCTGATGCTTATCGAGCCAGATATAGAATCTACAAGTAATTGGAATTAAAAATCGTCAAATGATCTAAATTTTTTTATCCAAAAATGTTACTTTTTTATCATTTGAATATCGTAGGCATGAATGGTTATTAATTTTTCCCTCTTTCGAGTATGGTACACCAATTAGTTTTTGGTCTTGGTTTGAAATGAAAATTGCAAAGATTGGCTAGTTAACCAAAATGAGAAAATGTCTGTCTGAGGTCCCGCCGTGAATGCTTAACGAGCATACGTTACGCTCTCCGGGTAGTAGGAAGATCCTCAAGGTAGGATAAAGGCATTAGTATGGCATATGCGTTCCTCTCACCTTAATATTTCTTGTTCCTATGATTCGGGGAGGTAAGTAGAATGTACAAGTAGTCAAATACCGCATATATGTTATCTAAATGAGATAAAATTGGACTTGTAGTTCGTAGAATTTCTCAAGTTCACGCGAACTCTTGTAGCATTTGTTGCAAATGCAATCCTGCAAGGAGCTGTTAATTTTCACGACTATGAAGGATGACCGTAAAGAAATGTTGGCATGCCCGAACGATTGCTATCCTTGCCGCAGAGAAGAGACTCGCGGGTATTAAGTGTAGAGCTGATGTTCATTGTCAGTACAACGATCGGGATTTAAGTTAACAAATTGCGATAGACATAATAAATTTATAATATACAAAAAAGATACGCATGTTTTTTTTTTGCAACAACCACTCGCTATCTTACTACGATATTGCATATCTTTAATTCGATAACGGTGAGGTGAGTTATAATATTTAACACATTAGGTGCTTGCATGTATTTTGAGCAGCGATATTTATTGGTAAAATCGAAAAGTAATGCAAAACATCAATGTACACAACGGTTAAATTCGATGATTTTAACCTTTCTCTACATAAAATAACAGTTTTGCATTTACTCTTATTGAGTTATTCAGTGCGTACAGACGGTAATCATTTCTGATCATATGCGATCTTTGTTACTTTTGTTGTTTAATATAAAGAAATCTACTGGCGACGCCTAACAAACAGTTTTAGAGGCTTATGGTGTCGCTGTTACATCATATTCCAAGTGCCGGTTTTGTTTTCAAAGCTCTCAACCGTTTTATGTCAATGGCAAAGAACGGTCTGGAGGTCCTGCTCCAACTCTCAAAGAACATTTAAACAGCTTAGTTATTTCTAGATGTTCTATTTTGATGGAAACGATCGAATTGACTGAAAATGCCATTTCGAACAGTTTCATCATCGCGTTCTCATTGCTTACCAGGCATAAAAAAGAGTTTTCTGTAGCGTATTGTGACTAGAGATGGAAAGTGGATCTACTGCGACAATCTCAAGCCCAAAAAATCGTGGGTTACTCCAAGAAACTCATTCACATCGATACCGAAGTGCAATGTGTTCAGGGCAATAAAGTTTTGATTTACATACGGTGGGATCAGCAAGACGTAGTGTATTACGAACTGCAGAAACTGAATGAGCTAGTACTAGACCAGCAATAGTGGGTAACAGACGCAAAGTCATCCTCTTCCATGACAACGGTCGGCCATAGGTTGCAAGAATTGTCGAGGATACACTGTTGCGGCCCGAATAGGAGGTTCTACTGCATCCAGCGTATTCGCCGGACATAGCGCCTTCTGATTATCGCTGTTCGCCTGCTCAGATCAATGCAAGCTGGCTTGGCTGGCACGCAGTTTCGAAATGCTGAAGAATTGCGAAAGTGAGTCAATGATTGGTTCGCTGCCAAACCAATATGGTTCTTTCCATCGCCAAATTACCAGAAAGATGGGAAAAATTCGCAGAAAATGGAAAAAAATATTTCGATTAATATATATACAAATACCTTTTTCGAGTGAAAAAGCGATCAAAATATATAAGCACTAATTGAAATAATCTTTTGAACATGAAAATAATTTCTTTTAATCAAATATATTCATATATATATATAATCTTTCACTATATATATAGTCTTTATATATATATATCTGTACATATAACTTAGTAACTATATACACAATCTTGTGTCGATAATCATTTAGTCATTCAATTCTGTAATTAAACACAGTGGATACATTAATTCCATGTTATGTCCGGCCTCTGATTTAGAAAAAGTGTATATTCGATTTGACTATATACTACTCGACAAGATACTACAGCTTAATAAGCGTCTATGCCTGTGATAAAGTTGAACAAATTATCAAAAATTCGATCAAAAATAATCGCATCTATACCATGGTGGTTAAGGAAAATGGAATTCGAAATCGTCGCAGTAAATATGATTTTATTAACGCGTAATGAAAACAACGTGTTATCTATTAATAAGACTTTTTTTTACTTATTTATACGGCTCCGTTCATCGATTGTATAAAACATTCAATTGCCGTCAGGTTAAATTAGCCGCCAACGTAACGGAGGAACCGTTTTAAAGGCAGCCGCATAAACAAACCCATCGAAAAGCAGGTGGGAAACGTAGCGTCAGTAAAGCCGCGAGACGTGACCAAGACGAGTCATAACTGATCGTCATATTCTCTTCTGCGCTTACATACCAATCTATATTACAATTTGCTTGCTTTCACCAATAAGGGCAATAACAGCAGCAACCAGGACAATAGAAAAATCTATAACAACACACAATACATTATCGTCATTATTCCTATCTTCATCATCATCAGAAAACATGCCACCAACAGCATATAGAAAGCGTTACGATGTCATAATCACTGCAAACGGTCCTTAGATTCTTTTTGATATTAAGTAAACAAAATCGAATAAACTGAAGTCCAATCTAAATTATATTATTTCCGATTAACATCTAAATCAGTTGAGGGAGAGCACAGGTAAGGAAGACTATAGAGCGGCCTTGGGCATAACATCCGCCTGTTCGGTAAGTAAGTTATGTCCGTCCGTTTGTTCTCATAAGGCGAATATTTCTTTAGTGTAACCGGCTGTGGAGCGTCTGTTGGATAGATATTGAAACTATCCAATTACTTCCGACCTAGCTAGCTTATCGACATGCGTCCGTCCGTTTGCAGCCTCCGAGCTTTCGACCTTTTCGACGTGCATAGTACGGTTTTTATTGCATAAAACGTTTAAACCGATATCATTGCGATAATCGCGGACAATCATGTTACAGTCTACGGTGCGTTAGCTTATAGAAAAGTGTTTTGGATTCTTTCTTTATTCGCCTTAATATAGTGAATGGTCGCGAAAATTACATTTTCCTAATAATTCAATTCGTATTTAAAAGGGATCTATGCTCTATGTCAGCGATACGCGTCTGATCGAATTTTCCCGAATAGCGCGAATTTCAGGTTGAATAGATATTTACAGGCTGACGGACATACAGACTTATGATTTTTAAATGATCGATATAAGCAATAGAGTATTCTATCTATTGCAAGTGCTGTCGAAATCCGCATAAGCTAAATATACTCTTGGCACACTCAAGAGATGCAGAATATAAAAATAAAATATTAAAGTTACTTCCGATTTAAAGCTTACTGACGTAATTGTCAAGGCTTTGACTTTAATTTCTTTTATTTGTATAGAGAAAACGATTTTTTCAATTCTTGCCGACAAAGAAAAAAACATTGTATATACACGTACGTAACTTAAGATTTGTAGGATTTTAATTTTTATTGTTCTATTTTACACCGCCTTAGAGCGTAAGTTCTGCAGCAACTACCCGTATATACTTAAAATATCCTATAAGTTAGGGAAACGTAAATTGCAAAAAGTAATCGTAATGAGTGCGCAGCCATCAGCAAACGCAAAAAACTCAATAATACCTGATGTTGGGTGTGAGGATCGATGCTTCATAACTGGGAGCAGATATAACGGTGTTTTGACGGAGCCGTTGAATTGTATGGACGGCTACGGGACGTATCGCTTCCCTGATGGAGGCTACTATAGTGGTTACTTTTCCAGAGGAGTGTTTCATGGTCAAGGAACTTTGCGATTGGCGCCGCCGTATAATTTAACATATAAGGGCGTTTTCCATAAAGGGGCGCTGCAAGAAATTCAGGAGATGTGGTTTGCTGACGGTTTGTTCGTTAATGCCAGACGTAAGGGCTGGGAAATGGACTTCAGTCGATGGACTTATTGTACCAATATCGATCGCCGTTTCGTCGACGAACATGTTAATGGACTACGGCCAGTGGGACCAGAGGCCTTACTAACTGCCCGTCATCCACCACGCACGTTACCACCAACTTTTTTTGATGTTGAAGAGGGCTTCTACAATCCAAATAATAAACTAATCACACGTCGCCCACCACCATTCAAGGACATGGTTTACGTTGGCTGTCAAGGTGCTGCCGATTGGATTTTGAAATCATGCCGCCGTGGCTCGAAGCTTCCTCCATATGTAGCGCCCGATATTTGTCAGCATATTATACGCAATAATCTAAATAGTGAGAGCAGTTTATACGCTCACTCTACCAGATGCCAATACAATCAAGAGGTACAGCGTAAATATTACTTTGACAAGATTTGTAAGACGCCCAAAAAATTGGAAGATTTATCGGATGATTCTAAAGAGTTTGCCGAATTTCCAATGTCAAGAAGCACTTCGTTCGCTTCTACATTCTCCACAACTTCTGTTGAGGTAGACTTGCAGGAGCAGTTGGTTACCAGCGAACAATATGAGCGCTATATGAACGAACATGTAGAAACTGATGCAACTGTTTATATAAATGTACCCGACGTAAATTGACAATATTTACAAGTGTCTGCTTATATATGTTTTATAGGTATGTGAATATACGTGTATTTGAAATAAAATAAAACTTATGTATTGTATTAGAGACAAGTATTTTCATATGGTCAGCTTCGCCAAGCTATTTTATATCAAGTTATTTAAGCAGCAAAGCGAAATGTCGTTCTCTCTTAAAATACCAATCCTTCAATTGTTGACGAGTTCGATGTTCAATGTTGGACCGAAAAACTTCACTAATAGCCATGTAATAGAAAGTTAACAATTAATGTGAGCGTTGGATATCATCGTGCGATGGGTTCATAAATGCAGCGATCAGCTTAGTTCAATTACCACGCATTTCAATCAATTCAGACATTGAATCAAAAAATTTTTATTAGCTTGCTTTGCCTCTTATTTAATTTTTCCTCGGATGCACTTCTTTCAATAAGTTGGATACTTAAACATTCGATATAACCTTACTCTTTGAAACGTGGCTCATTTTGTGGACAATCGCATTTAGTCGTTATACGTGTGTAAAGGCGGCGAAAAAAAAGGTAGATAAGGAGAGACAGAATGCAGCTTGTAAGGCCCATGTGTGCATTCACTACGGTTTTGGTCACATGTCTATCGTAGTGAAAGAGTGATTTATCACGCTCGCAATTAAACCCGGAAATTTTTACCCCATAATCGCGTTTTTTTTTGCTACTTGGATATGCTTTAGTCCAATATTACCCGTTTTGATGATTGATAAAATTCGCATTCGAGAGTGATGCTTGCTTTGAGTCCTGTGCACTGAAAGAACCTGGTCCATGGTGACTAGGAAAATTATCTAGACCACCAATTGTTCTTCACAAGTTACATTTTAGAGTAGTTGTAATTGCTAATTCCATGCATCGTACCTTCGTCTCGCATGATAGGACCGCCGGCCTCCTGGAAAACTGCTTCTAGTGGGGCTTCCATGAAACGGATCCCCGCCTTCTTTCCTAAAGTGATTTTGAAAAAATGAAAATATTCGTTAACGAGTCCGCGTTGGGTTCTGTAACTTCACACCATCCGACCATGCAATCTTTTCAGTTTTAAGCACTCTCCGCCCTTCGACCGATTTGGCTCGTTTTCAATACCAACCTGCGTGCACTCAAGTTCAATGTTGATAGCTTCATTTTTGAGGCTAGCAGAATATTTGCAACAGACATTGGATAGAAGGACAGACACTCACACGGACAAACGAAAATGCTTAGATCGATTCAGAATTTGATACTGACCAAGAATATATATATACTTTGTTGGGGTCTTTGAAGCTTCCTGTTGGGCGCTACAAACGTTTTGATAAAATGAATATAACCCTCATACCCCGGTGATGGGTATAAAAACAGTAATAATTGTTAGTTTTAAACATGAAAAAAACAACGCCATAGTACTTAGCTAATTAAGTCTTTTATAAACATCTTATCACAAGGTTTAATTAAAACTGACTCACTTCATGAATGATCCATTCTTTCTTTAAAGCCCGTTTGCTTATTTATTAATTAATAATCATTTATACATGGTGTTAACTATCATTTCTTTAACAGCGTTAATATCTTCTGTACCTAATGCTTGAGTTGACCTGCTTTCGTTTTTTAACCTAAAGTGAATTTCGAATATTTATCATCATTGTCATTGCTTTGGTCTTAATTATATATATATGTCTTTAAAAAAATATAAAAAAAAAGCAAGCAAATTAGATTTGGTAGTGACCGAATCTTTCATACTCATCACCCCAATCATCCCGAAGAAGAGGAAACTAAGTAAAAGGACTAAATTTTCGCGCTCTATAATATGGAGTGGGCGCAGCTGATTTTCTTTATTTTCAAAATAAAAGCTTTTTTCGCGCAGACGTGCTGGCTTTATGGGCGTGTCCTTGGAAAAAATTAAATCCCTAGCATACTTTTTTGCAAATTTTTAGTGCGATATCTTACTTTTCACTAAAGGATGAATGTTTACCACATATACTATACGGTTGCGCAGACGGACATATGAACGGATTTATGGACGAACATGCTTAGGTAGCCAATGGGTGGAATTTAAAAAAGAAAATTAAATTTTAATACATTATAATATTGGAAAGGCGTGGTGAATTTTTTTCTAAATCTCTACAGGTACTACGGCATCGCCTATGGAATATACGTTCAAATTTTTTCTTTTTATCTGTTATAGCTTATTTTGTTTTTGTTCCTTTTAAAAAATAGAGGTACTCTCAGTTGACTTGGTGCCTATTTTCAACAATAACCTACGTGCAAGAACCTCCGATTTTTCTATCATATGTGAAGATGATAGGTTGATTTTCGCGGCAAGAAGAATGTTTATAACACGCTTTACACAGACGGATGAACGGATGTGGTTATCGATTTAGAATTTGATACTGATCAAGCATATATATAATCTCTAGCGTATCTTGCGCTTCCTTCTGGGCGTTTCAAACGTTTTGACAAAATGAATATACCCCTCATTCTTCGGTGAGAATGAAAAATGAAAATCGTCGCCCATAGAATAGTAAGCAACAGAGAAAAAAAAAAAAAAAAACAAGCAAAAAAGTATTTATAGGCTTGTCGCCTGCATTTTGTAATCGGCCATATTGTCACGGTTTAATGATAAATGCGTTAACTTGGCTAGTAATATATTATATTTTGTTTCATATATGATATCTATATGTTTATTAGATTATTCTATAGCTGTAAGTCACTTTTTAATAATATATATATATATATATATATTTTTTTTTAATTAGACACAAAAAGCTTTTAAGCTATTATTCATTTTTTCGATAAGTACAGTAAGTTGTTTCTTCATCATCACCAACATCGTTGTCATTGTTAAACTAAGGCAGTTTATTAATAATGTTGTCAAAAAACAAAGGCTTTTTTCTTTTTTTCGATTTTCAAAGGGTGTTGGGAGATTTTTTAAATAGATTAAGCATTTAATGTACGTATGTCCGTCCAGCATTCATAAATAGCCGATAAAGTAGGGATAAGGTGATATTCTAAATACTTAAAAAAAAAGAAAGATATGTGTAATAAAGTTCAAGACAAATCTCTTATCTTTCTTGATTATGATCGGACAGGGCGTGTAGATAGCGCAAACAAAGTGTCAGAAATATTCAAAACTACTTATTGCTGTAATAATAATCAAACGTACATCCCTTTTAGCTTCGAACGCGTTATATGTGATTTTTCGCTTAATGCGTTCATATGTAACAACGAAATGGAGGCGCATTAAACGCTTAACGATTTGAATGCAATATAAACGCCAGTAATTTCAAGCGAAAGCACTCCTCGAGTAAACGCACAATGAAATGGAAATTTATTATGCTTGAGCATTCCGTTCCCGATCCCTTGCGCGTGCAATGACAAATATTCGTCATCGTCCTACATATAGTAAGCATTGATACACAATTTAACTGAGAAGACTTGAACGCAGCCGCAGACAAGATCTTAAGGAAAATTATTTCAAAGACGGCAGATAGTAATACATTAGACTTAAGAGTGAATAAATATTATATTTATTTTGATCCATTAGATCATTTTACTTCATTTTGCCTTGACGGGGTGGATGAGTTTCCCTCAATAATATCGTTTAGTAAAGTGAAAGGTGAAAGATAAATTTTATCGCAGTCCCTTTTTTAAGACAATACAATAAAAGCATGGAATCAGCCCAAGGTTTTAAGAAAAGTGGTGGCTATGCGAGATTCGCCTCCAGCCAATTATTACTTTCGCACTTTGTTTATGTATTCTTTCATATTTTTCGATTATTGTCGGCATTCTCGTAAGCGGATCAATTTCAACTTTCTTTTCTTCTCTCATTTTTTTTTTTTTTTTTGGATTTGATCTAACGAGTTCAGGCATTTCTAGCTTTTCAATGTTATTTAAGCATATAACGGAACCCCATACGCAATAGTTCGATAAGAGAAGAGCGCCGATCAAATACACTTTATGGGTTAGTTGAGGCATTGAAAGTTTTCGATGTTGCAAACGCAATCATATCATATTAGCATTAGGCTTCAGTTGCAAGTTGTTCTACTTGACTGCCTTCAAAATCGTGAAGAAAATAGCTGACGATAATTTAAATGAGATAAGGCATTAATTGCAGGACGTGAAGAATGAATACCATTGAGTCAACTCCCAATTAGTTCTTATAATTATCCGTTAAGTGAAAGAAAAAAAATATTGATTTCTTTTATTACTTACGGATAACTTAAATGCCATATTCCTTCTAGGTTCAAGTTTCACAAGAGAAAGAAAAAAAAATAAATAAATAAATAATATAAATAAGATTAAATTTGAATTTTTGCACAAAGATTTGCTCAGTCAAGCGAAAATTTAGTTAATATTCTTAGTTGTCTTCTCCGCACCGGTATTTACCTTTTCGCGCACTTTATAAAGGACTAATAATTTTATTTAACTTTTTACACATTTCATTGCAGTTTATTGATAATTTATTGAAAATCGTACGATAGTAGTACAAAAGTAGTGTTTGCTTCACATGAATGCTTCCCTTTAAATACAAATTTCTAATTAATATAATTTTGAAAAATATACAAACATCTAGGAATGTATGTATAAAATTCAACACACAAGTATATGTAAGCGTCTATATTGCAATTATAGCAATGCGGGAATGTTGCTATTCTATATACACATATAGAGGTGTGGATATCAACTATTACAAACCAAACCTTTGCAAACATAGATATGTATATATATTTGTATATAAATTTATTCAATCATTTCTCGTATGTGTTGAATATTGAACTATATATATATATATATATATATATATATATTTTATATACTGAATAATAATAGCGCTTAATGAAGTTACCAAAAGTAAATAACAATATGTAAATATGGTAGAAAAACCATCTACATTATAATAATGGGCGACCGCTTGCGGGCGGTTACAATGAAAATGAATGCTTTCTCAACTTTTTTTTAATTTCGTTATCGGGCATACAATGTAATGTGTGATCTCTAGTCAATAGCATCCTGACCAAACCGTTGCCAATGAAAGAACGCAAAAAATAAAGGCATGGATGGATTATGTTTGCCCATGCAAGGGGATGGATTGTCGCCTATTATCAAGTATAGTGACATTTATTACCGTAATATTGAATAATGAATAATTCTCATCATATTACCGGAACGCTTGAAGTTTGAAACATTGAGGGAAAATTTTGAAGCTAGTAAGTAGTTCGAGCTAAAACATTTTGAAAATTGTATGCTCGCCAAGAGACTGACCTTTCCATACCCTACGCCGTACCTTGTTTCAATATAAAAGCGTACTTTTCATACAATCCCTTATGCGGGAGGAAGTCTAAAACTGGAAGTCTAACTGGAAGACAAACTTAGTAGATTTGTATTTTTTGTTTTTTTTTTTTCTTCTTTCTGAGAAACTTTTTATTCTTTACCTAATTCTCACCTGCTTTGTAATTCGAAATATTATAGAAACGATTTCTGAAAAATAAAATGTGATAACAAAGTAATCAGTCCAATAGTTGCAAACAAAACGATAAATTCGCTGCATTCTGTCCAATATCAAAAGTTTTATTTACACATTCCCTTCTTTTCGCAGCCTCTGAAAAATATTAAATATAAAAATAAATTAATATTTTTTTTTTATATATTTTTTTTTTTTTTTTTTTTTTTTTTTTTTGTGTTTTGGGTATAGTAAGTAATCCGTTCCAGAATTTAAAAGGCATAAAAAAAAGAAACAAATTATGTCGAACGAGGCGCCAAGAAAATTTCACATATTGCCGAAAATTATTAATGGCGGAATTGCCGGTATTGTTGGAGTAACTTGTGTATTCCCACTCGACTTGATAAAGACTCGTTTGCAAAACCAGCAAATCGGACCAGACGGCGAGCTGATGTATAAGAACATAATTGACGCTTTTCGTAAGACATTTAGAGCAGAGGGGTTTTCCGGTATGTATCGTGGCTCGGCCGTGAACATTATTTTAGTTACACCGGAGAAAGCGATAAAACTTGCCGGAAATGATTACTTTCGCTTTCATTTAACTAACGCTGACGGTAGATTGCCGCTTATTAATCAAATGTTCGCAGGAGCATTTGCTGGAGCTTTTCAAATTATTGTTACTACTCCCATGGAATTAATAAAGATTCAAATGCAAGATGCGGGACGGATCGCGGCTCAAAGTAGAGCAAAAGGTCAATCGGTTGAATTACCCTCGACTTTAAGAATCACTCAGAAGTTATTACACGAAAGAGGTATACTCGGCTTGTATCGAGGCATAAAAGCGACAGCTTTGCGAGACGTCACATTCTCGGGGATTTATTTTCCTCTCTTCGCTGCGTTGAATGATTTAGGTCCCAGGCGCGATGATGGTTCTGGTGGAACGGTATTCTGGTGTTCGTTTCTAGCGGGCTTGGCTGCTGGTTCGGCGGCTGCGTTCATTGTTACGCCTCTGGATGTGATAAAAACCCGTTTGCAGCTTATCAAAAAAGGCATGGACGAGAAGGAATTCTCGGGGATAATGGATTGCGTGGTTAAAACTTTCGAAACAGAGGGTGTGACAGCTTTCTTTAAAGGCGGCTTGTGCCGTGTAATGGTGATTGCACCACTTTTCGCTATAGCACAGATGGTTTACTTTCTGGGTATAGGGGAACGTATTTGCGGCATTGAGCATTGAGCAAAGAATGCCGATCACCATAATCTTTGCCGCAGCGATTATACTGAACCGTCTGAAGGCATTCTCTACTAAACCTCTAGTTGTACCGATTTACAAAAAAAAAAAAAAAACGAAAAAAAAAAGAAAGAAAAACAATATCAGAATTTTTGGGAAATATATCTTCTTAGATATCAGGTAAACATCAGCGTAAGTAAACATTGCATGAGCGTAAACGGCAAAGCTATAATATATTAATTAATCACGAGGTGGGAGTTAGAATTTACGTATATTTTCGCATTGTCATGCCTTGTTCTCATGTTCAATTCTTATTGTCTGTCAAAATTATTTGCATTGCTGTGCATTTATCGCAATTAGGTGAACGACGGATATTCGTATAAGTTTTTTCGTCTTCGTCGTAAGAAAATAGCTTAATTTCTTTGTTGGTTTTGCTGAGGAGGTCTGACTTTAGAATTTAGCAACAACTTAAATAGTTTGTGATCAGGCCAGACCTTAAATTCATTTTGCATATAAATAAGCCTGCTGCTCACATAATATCCAAGACCATTTTCGCTATAGTTGCTATAGTCAGTTCAAGTTTCGAAGGTGTTTCCGTCCATTCTTCTAAAATTTGAATCGACAAAGAAAATCCGGTTTTGCAAATCTTTTAATATCCCCTGGTATGTAGCGTAAAACTTTTTGAGCTCGAGAGGTGTCCTTACGATTTTGTAATTGAAATTTGTCTAACCTCTTTTTCACTTGAATTTGAAGCTAACGTCCTCTTTTGCGACGCAATAAATCTAATAATAAGATGTATGCGTTATCACCTTTAAAAATATTTATCCTTTATTTTAGTGTATTTCTGTCACATAGTGACAGAAAGTTCTGATGACGTCTTATTTTGTGTTATTTCCAATAAATAACAGAAATTCCTCGTTATTGGTGTGGTTGTTAAGTACAATATTCTGTTGATTGATTTCGAATTCCATGATAGATGCATCGCAATCTTATACGAGTTACGTACCAGTTGCTTGCGGTGCGTTTGCATTCATTCCGTCGTTTGTCCTTTGCGTTGCCTTGAAATATTCGTGTTCAAGTATCACACTTCATGGCAGACTGTTCCGCTACCTTGTCCGCCTAAACAGTGTGCTTCTTCTCAGATCATTTCTTCTTCTTGATAATCTACTAAAAATAACGAAAACTTCTCATCTATCTTTATTCGTTGAATTGTTGACGTTCACGTACTATTCTTCCCATACCAAGCTGTCCAATATATTCACTTATATTAATTGACTCGTGTTGCACCTCTACACTATGCGCTATTTACCGACGGCCTATATAATTCGATTAGATTGATCATTCAATCTAGTCATATAATACGCGCAACATTTAATCTCTATGTGAGGCCAAAATTAGGGACGATTTTCATCCCCGCAACGCATATAGTCGCTCAGTCGTTCGACGAATTTCAAACGAATTTCGTTTGATTATGGGCGGATCAAAATTTTGATTAGCCCCAAAAATTGTTTTGTTTGAAAATATTTTTGTGTATAGCAGTGTAGCAAATATTTGAAATTTTAGCCGCGTACCCGCAAAAAGCTCTTTTCATTCGAATTTATAATTTTTTCACGGTAGATTTAAAATAGCTTCCTATAGTAAAGCGCTCCTTAAATTGAAAATGCCTCGCAAGAATGGCTATGCTGCTGCTAGTTTGCCATATTTTTCAGCACATGAATATGTTTAATAACTTCTTTGCTTATTACTATTCCACGGTCTTTTTGTCTTCTTCTTCGTCCTCTTCTCCTTCTTCTTCTTCTTCTTCTGTTATTCAGGTAATTAACAACCGAAAATTCGCTGGGTCATGTAAAAATATCTTTTCTTCTCTCGATTATTACAAGATGTTACCGCTGCACACGCCTTCACAAATTAAAAAATGGAAGCACTTCTCAACTAAGCTGAAAACATATCGGAACTATTTTTGAAAACTTTTACAAATTTCGTGTCTTAATTGGCTACGGGAAAATAGTGGGCTCGGCTAAATTTCGAAAATGTAAATTTGTTAGTTTGAGTCCATTTAGTAGACTCTCGTATGCGTCGTCACAATGTAAATCTCAACTTATAATTAAGAAGCAGAAGCTTGTAATAAGAAGTATATATAAGAATCAAGTAGAAAGTGGAGTAAAGAGCACGAAAAATATATTAGATCATATAAACTTCTTGTTCATTCCTAACAAAACGGAATTGCAGTTATACCTCTTGGTTTTCAATAACAAACAAAACAAAAAATGTTGTTAACAAATTGTTATAAGTAGTTTTTTATAGCAAATGCCTAAATTTTCTCGGATTTGTTTTTTCCCCTTTTAAAGGCGCTTACTGCACGGAATCGCTTAAACGTGAACTATGCATTAAACGTATTCTCTCTCTTTCATTCTTTCTTTCTCTTTCTCTCTCTCTCTCTCTCTCTCTCTCTCTCTCTCTCTCTCTCTCTCT